GCTTTTAAGAACAATTTCAAGGGCTGAGCCCCATAGCCCTCAGGTAGTACTATTATTTAAAAGTGGTTTGGAGTAAATGGGTCAAATGCCCTAAAAGCTATTGAAGAAAAACTGGTATTTTTAGGCAAAACATAATTTTAAAAGCTTTTAAGAAAAATTTCAAGGGCTGAGCCCAATAGCCCTCATTTATTACTATTATTTAAAAGTGGTTTGGAGTAAATGGGTCAAATGCCCTAAAAGCTATTGAAGAAAAACTGGTATTTTTGGCACAAAATAATTTTAAAAGCTTTTAAGAACAATTTCAAGGGCTGAGCCCCATAGCCCTCAGGTAGTACTATTATTTAAAAGTGGTTTGGAGTAAATGGGTCAAATACCCTAAAAGCTATTGAAGAAAAACTGGTATTTTTAACCCAAAAATAATTTTAAAAGCTTTTAAGAAAAAATTCAAGGGCTGAGCCCCATAGCCTAGAGGTAGTACAAATTTTGTAAAGTGTTTTGGGGTGACTGGGTCAAATGCCCTAAAAGGTATTGAGGAAAAACCCATACTTTATATAAAAAAATCCTTGAAAAATACACCAAATCTATTAAGCATAATTTCATTGCCTGAGCCCCATAGCCTAGAGGTAGTACTAATTTTGTAAAGTATTCTGGGGTGACTGGGTCAAATGCCTTAAAAGCTATAGAGGAAAAACCCATACTTTCAATCAAAAATCCTTGAAAAATACACCAAATCTATTAAGCATAATTTCATGGCCTGAGCCCCATAGCCTAGAGGTAGTACTAATTTTGTAAAGTGGTTTGGGGTGACTGGGTCACATAACCATAAACCTATTGAAAAAAATATTGTATTTTTTGGTGATTTTCCAGGATTATGATTTTTCTAAAGTTTCAAAACATGAAAATAGGAATAAAAACGTGTGGTAAATATTATTTACTTTGCTGGTTCACATGATTCCGAATATAGGCTTATTGAAAATATATAGGCTACATTCAACAGTAGGTATAAAATACTATAATATTAAATGTGGTAGAAAATACACCTAAAGATTACATTTAATCTATCTCCTTTCATTAAAATTGTTTATTTGTATCACATTATTGATTTACACCTACATTATTTTTTTTAAACCAACGCCTTTTTACAAAGACAGTAATTCATAGACGGTCCCTAAGTTCGAACGATCTTAGTGCTGGAGGCGAATATCCAACGTCCAACGTGAAACCAACTTCACCGCGGTCACAGCGGGGACATGCAGCTTCTGCACCTCAGACTTTTTCCGCTGAACGTCATTGCCACTTGCGTGAATAACCATTCGGTGAAAACGCTGCTTGTGGATCATCAGGAGCCTCAGATTCCCTTCAGTATCACCAAGCCCGGCCACAGGGAAGCACCAAACAGTAGCTCCTGGGATCTTAACAACTCTAACAACAGAGGAGCCAATTACCAGCGCATCAACGACTCCATTGGTTCTCACAGCGGCTCTCTCAGTGGGGCCTTCCTCCCCGCCCGGCCGCGAGGAGTCGCAGCCGGACAGAGCGTAATTGCAGGGACGCTGGTGACTTTTCTCGTTACTTCTTTTAAAAAGTAACCTGTTTCTTTTGAATGTACTTGAAAAGGCGGCAAGTCCTCGGTAGCTCTGAAACAGTAGTTGTTTTTGTGCTTTACAATTCTTTTGTTTTTTTTCTTGCTTTTTTACCTGATTTGTTGCTGCAGTACAGGGTTCATGGTTGTACACTGGTCCATACAGGAGCGGAGAGGATCCATGGACCGAAACAAGTGGATCAGGCAAAAATCCACTGGAGGAAGGCTAACATTTTAAAAAATGCTAACAAAGCCTTTCACTCTGGACCAGAGCTGAGAAAATGGTCTGAACCCAGCAGCAGCTCCACCTCTGGGCGGCACGGTGGCTGGGTGGATAGCAATCTCGCTTCTCTGCAAGAATGTCCTGCGTTCAAATCCTGGTCAGAACAGGGCCTTTCCAAGTGGAGTCTGCATGTTATCCCCGTGTCTGCGTAGGTTTCCTCCAGGTACTCCGGTTTCCCCTACCACTACAAATATGTACAATAGGTCTGGCATGCGCCTCCTGCACTGGCGGCCCCGCTCCCATTTCTGTGTGGAGTGAGAGGACAAATGCCCACAGTTGTAAACCGCTTTGTGACTCTGGTCTGTGAAAGGCATATATATAAATATAAGGTTAATTGCTCCTGTGGACTCACCACTTGCAGACGGATCAGTGAGGGGCTGGTGCTAAGTGTACTGGGTGCAGCTCTGGCTGCCACCCCCCCAACCCAGAAATGGATTAAGGGGAAGAAAATGGATGGATGGATATAAGGTATATAAATAAAGATTACTTACTTACTTACTTAATCTGCCGCGGTGACGTGTCCTGCTCCACCCAAAAAGGAATGAATGTAATGACAGAGTGAATGGATGGTGTTGATTGGGGGCTTTGCTGCGCCAGTGTGTTTGGCGTCTTAGTTCAATCATCACTGGGTGTGGAGTGATTGCACCAATATCTGAACATTGTATAGCGCTTTGGGTGACCTTGGTCTGTAAAATGTGCTATATAAATAAAAATACATTACATTGCAATACCCAGAGGCTCCATCATCTCTGCTGCTGTGACCTGTCCTGCTCCACCCTCGGCGGTTGCATCACCTCTGCTGCTGTGACCTGAAGTGCTGTTTCTTACTATTACTATTACTATTTTTAGCTTTTTAGAATGATTAATTTGTTTTGATTGTGTGGTTGGATGTGTTTTTGCTGCCACTGGACACCTTAATTTCTCCTACTGAGATCAATAAAGTCTCTATCTATCTATCTATCTATCTATCTACAGAACCATGGACTCGTGGACAGAACCTTATGCGCCGATAGAACCATGGACTTGTGGACAGAACCATGGACTCATGGCCAGAACCATGGACGCGCAGACAGAACCATGGACCCCCAAAACGCAACCAAAACTCCTGAATTTAAAGTTCTGATACCTACATTTTCCGCATGCGTTCAAAATGCATGTTATTTGTGCACAAAAGTAAAATCATCCCATCCATTTTCTTCCCCTTAATCCATTTCTGGGTCGGGGGGATGGCAGTCAGAGCTGCACCCGGTACACTTAGTACCAGCCCCTCACTGATCCTCCTGCAGGTGGTGAGTCCACAGGAGCTGAGATCTTTCAGTGGGGGCACAAAAGAAAAATGTTGTGAAAAAATCAAACAGAACACACAGCAGGCATTTTTTTATTATTATTTTGCATACATAAGAGCCCTCTGAGTCATTATTTGACTTTTTAGACCGAGAATGGATTTTTAAAATATTTTTTCCACATGGTTAGTGACACTTTATTCCCAAACTCTTGTTAACTCTTTGTATTGAGAAATAGTGAACCAAGCTTAAAGTCAAGGCCTGGATTTAAGCACTTTGAGGAGAATGACTATATTGTAAATAAAGGCTACAGACTATATATTTTTACATTTATACTTTTCTCCTCATGTGTGCCGTGGGAATTTAAAATGAAAAAAGTGTGCCTTGGCTCAAAAAAGGTTGAAAAACACTGGGATAGGGTATTACTACCTTATATCTGTATCTGGTTTGTCCAATGCAGTTGATATGTCCATATCAAATAAACTAATAATAATAATAGCTGTCTCACCAATGGGCACAGGGGTCAGCGCCCGTGGTTCTGCAGACTAATTTCAGGCGGGCTACCCAGTAAAAAGTCCTATGGACTAAAACTAAACCAGCTCAACCTCAGCTGACAGAGAACCTACAGCTTTCATAAAGGTCGGATTTTGTGGGGATTTTAGTGTCCCTTGTCATCCTGAACTTCTTCTCTTGTTTAATCCATTGGTTTTCTTTGAAACCACTCTTTAATGCAACAAACTCTGCTCGTTTTCTTCCTGCTCTAACTCGACCCTGGCTTCGCTCTGATCAGCAGTGCTGTTTTGTCAGAGCGCAGCCAAGCCCATCTGTACACATGAGAGCAACACAAGCTTATTTGGCTCAAAACACAATGGGAGCTCGTCCACTGCGCGGAACCAGGAGGACCAGATGATGTCCAAATATGGGCGAGTTCTTTCGGTCCCCATTTATGTCCCATGCGCTACTGAGCACAAATCATTCACTTGAATAGGGGGCCACTGGGGCTTGGATCCTCCGGGGCTTTATGAATGCACAATTGTATTTTTTCACTTCTATTTATTTGAATAATAGGAGCCATAGGTGTGACACTTGAACAGTTAAAAACATTGTTTTTGGTTAAATGCAGAATTCTACCTTTTATTTAGAAATTTTCAGGTTGACAAAGATCTTTTGACACACATGCATGTAGCTCCAAAACAAAAATAATTTGTTGTTAAATTAAACAGTAAGAGACACTGTACAAGCTCTATGCTGCTATCAAAAGTAAAAACCTATTTTCATTCATTCATTTTCATTTGTCCTATTGTTTCACAACAGTGTTTTTTAGCAACAAGCTTCATGTTTAGCTGGATTTATTATATACATACGAATGGAATTAAGCCTCATTACTTTTAGCCCTATTTGGCTCTACTCTACTCTTACTGGGAGTGTTTCCACTGACCCTGCTTGACTGGTACCTATTTAGGTACCACCTTACCAAACCTTTCAACAAGGTAGAGTGGGGAAGAGTAGGTCCAAGTTGGGCTGGTGGAAATGGGGATACAGAAATCCATTCAAATTAAGAATTCTATCAGTTTACTGTCAAAATATTCCCCAGCATTTCTCTCCATATGTACATATATTTGGTAAAATTACAAGCTAAAATTAAGCCAAACATTCATGCAATTATTTCATTTTTGTTAGCTGTAAGAGTTTTTTAATGCTATGAATAACACCACATTTTCTCACACATCCTGTCGAAGAGAGGAGCTGCTCTGTTGCTTCGCTGTCACACTCGTTTTGTGCAGCTCTCTCGACCCGTGGTTTGGTTTTGGGTGTTTTTTTGGTTTCTTTCGGGTGGGCTCACTTCAGGTCTTCAGTTCCAGAGTTTGAGGAAGCTATCCCAGGAGCCGGTGCACACACCCAGGCCGTCCTCTGGGACTCCAGTGCAGCTCACACGGTTGTCGTGTCCGGACAAGACACCTGGAAACAAAACACAATGAGAAGTAGTGTTAACTCCCCAGGGTCCATACAGTGTTATCAGGCTTATGTTCCTTGTCATGTCCTGGATAGCCAGTAAACATATATGTATATATCAGAACAAAATCGTCTCTGTAACCTGTGTGTATTTTTCTGTAACCTGTATGTGTCTCTTTAACCTGTGTGTGTGTGTGTCTGTATAGTGCATCTCTGTAACCCGTGTGCATGTGTCTCTGTAAGTTGGTGTCTGTGTGCGTGTCTCTGTAACCTGTGTGCGTGTCTCTGTAACCTGAATGTGTGTCTCTGTGTGTCTGCGTCTCTGCATGTTTGTCTCTGTGAATTTTTCTCTGCGTGTCTCTTTGTAACCTATAAGTGTGTCTCCGTATGTCTGTACACGTTTTTCTGTATGTCTCTGTATGTTTGTAACTTGTGTGTCTGTCTCTGTAACCTTTGTCTCTGTACATTTGACTTTGTGTGTGTCTCTAAGTTTGTTTCTGTGTTTGTCTCTGTAACCCTGAGTCTCACTGACCAACTCTCTCTCCCTTCAGTGTGTCCCAGATGTGGCAGTTGAAGTCGTCATATCCGGCAAAGATGAGTCGTCCGGAGCTGGACAGAGCCAGAGAGGTGACCCCTGCGTTCAGACCTGAGTCCTGGTAGTGCAGCACCTCCTGGTCGGCTCGCAGATCGTACATCTTACAGCATGTGTCGTCTGAGCCGGTGATGATCGCGTTACTGCTGGGGAAGAACTGCACAGGACACGTGTGGAGGTATGTGATCAAGATTCAGTTCATTTGCTATTTGCAATAACACCACTTTGCAATAATTGTGCAAGAGAACCCAGTGTGCACAAGTGTGTTGACCATCACTGATAACAACTTCATCTTTGCAAATGCACAAACCTCTGTCCCCTCCGACCTCTCTCATCCTTCTGTCCGTTCTCACCCCTCTTCTCCTCTGTACTCCCTCACCACTCTCATTTCTATTCCTTCTGACCCAGACTCACTCAGTGTAGTTACAGTTGCCCCTTATTCACACCCAGCATCATGTGTAATGTAACATAAGCGTAACAATTCAATGTATTTGTGTATCGCCCGAAATCACAACAGCAGTTGTCTCAGAGGACTTCACAAACATTTCAATTTGCCAACAACAGATCAGAGAATCAAACAGTTCACCCACAGGAAATGCAATAGTATCAAACACATAGGAAAAAATAATAATCTGTATATCAAGCGATCTTTACTTTGCTCCAGTTCAAGTTCAAACCAAGTTGAACAAATCTTCAGTCATATTCATGAACTGAATATGACTGAATGGACTGTTCAGTCATATGGACTGTTTCAAGTTCCATATAATGGAACTTGAAACCTTAGACTCCCAGCCCTCACAGTCCCCAGGACTGACACGTTCTCGAGACAGCGTTGCTGTGATTTTGTGCACTTTTGTGCGCTACAAATAACATTAAATTTAAATTACAATGAAAAAATATTCTAAGACATACCCTTCATGTCTCTGTTTACTTCCTTAAGCCGAACTTTGAGTATTAGGTGTACATTGGGTGTTGACTCTCAAACGTCCACTGTCCACTGTTCTTACCGCAATGGCGTTGATGTCACTAGTGTGGCCGCTGAACGTCTGCTTGCATGCGCCCTCTCGGACATCCCACAGTTTGGCCAGAGAGTCGCAGGCTCCAGAAATGAAGCAGTTTTGGTCGGGGGACAGGGCCAGAGACATGCAGTCCCCGATGTGATTTGTGAAGATCACCTTCTGCTTCCCGGTCTCCAGGTCCCAGAGACAGCTGCTCGGAGGAGGACAGACGGTCAGTGTACTGTACAAGCTTCAACACTTCCTCAGAACCAACTCAAGTGTCCAGTCTGCTCTGGGACATGCTCTTAACCACAGAAGGTGGTCAGTGAGTCCATGCTTTAAACCTTTATTCGATTTGTTTCAATGGTGCTAAATGTTTTTTGAAGCCTCTTACGTATTTTATTTATGATTGTCAAAACATGCAATGGGGCAGGACCATGGATGTATGATTATATGTGGAAGCGGTAGCACTGCAGCTGAAATCAATTTTTTTCCCATAGACCTTAATGTAAAGTAAAACAGATTGTCCTTATCTTGTCCAAACCTACAGATTTCACAAAGGTCGGGTTTTGTGGGGATTTTAGTGTCTGTCATCCTGGACTTTTTAATTTTTTAAATACATTGTTTTTTTTATAAATCCACACTTCAGTGGCACAAACTGGTCTTGCACTCACATGCTACTCTGCTCCTGCAGAAAGAGCACACCTACTTCACAAGTCCGGCCAGAACAGGCCTCTTATGCTAATGTTTCGGACGGAGCTAAAGAGGGTCAAGTCTAGTCCCTTTTGCCGAGTCTGACGTCATTGTTTTTGTCTGTTCTTTTTTCCTGTTCCTATAAACAACTATATTAGTGGTGGTTTGTGATTCTTATACAGTCTGAGATTTGTACAAAGACTGTATGTCCTGAATGTGTAATGTCGGTGTAATAACATTGTGCTACCAGGTGGTGTCTCCAGAGGCCGTCAGAATCTCTGAATCACTGAGGAACCGGGAGCAGGACAAGTAACCTAAGAGAGGGAACAGACATCAGACCATCATCCACTCATTCTACTTGAACAAGTTACTTACGTGGCGCCACCTGCAGGTGAAACTCTGCTCCTGTTAGACCTCAGGACTAACTGCTGTCCCTCAGCAAGACTTCTGCATTGCCTTACATGAGTCTGTTGTGTGTGGGAATGATTGGTGGTCAGTTGGCCGTGTCAATAGGGCATATAATGGTCACTAATTTTGGTGCTATGAATTATAGAAATACTTCTAGGTTGTTTCAACCAATGGATTGTTTGGACGAATGAGTAACAACAAGACTAAAACAACCCCAAAAACTGGTGAAATGTAATTTATCTGACATAAGAATGCACCATCTTGGAAACCTGGGTCTTAGTGCAAGTGCGTTTATGTGTTCTTACCTGTGTGCGCATCCAGCTCTCTCAGCGTCTTGGGACTTGCCGCCTTCACGTTGTACACAGTGCACATGTTGTCCAGACCACCGCTCGCCACAAGGTTCCCGGATGGCGCGAAGGCTACACTCATGACCCAGGCCGACTTCAGGGGCACTGCCACCAACTGGACACATAGGGAAGTACTTAAACAAATGGATACTGGTTTGTTGTTGGTCGGATACGGTACCAGATACAAAAGCGTGATGGAAACGCAACCAGGTGGAGTAGAGCCAAGTATATAAGAGAAGTGCAGAGTAGAGTAGAGTAGAGTAGAGTAGAGTAGAGTAGAGTAGAGTAGAGTAGAGTAGAGTAGAGTAGAGTAGAGTAGAGTAGAGTAGAGTAGAGTAGAGTAGAGTAGAGTAGAGTAGAGTAGAGTAGAGTAGAGTAGAGTAGAGTAGACGGGGCTCAAGTCATGGATGTTCACCCTTCACTTTCACGTTTTAAACTTAAAATAAAGTGTGTAGCATTGGCCTTAAGGCCAGAAGGTTGTGGGTTCAAATCCCACCTCTGCACCTTCTCCACCGACTCCCACTGATGACTGCTGTCGTTGTGTCCTTGGGCAAGACACTTAACCCCACTTTGCCCAAAGCCCCCACTGAAAGATCAAGGCTATGCTCACACTCAGAGAGCAGCCGTCCTCCTGTGGACTCACCACCTGCAGAGGGACAGTGAGGGGCTGGTGCAATGAGACTTGGGTGGCATCTCTGATTGCCACCCCCCTGACCCAGAAATGGATTAAAGGGTAGAAGATGGATGGATGGATAACGTGTGTAGAAAAGACCTTTAATTACAAATCAGCAGCAGTCCTACCGTAAAAACAGGACAATCTGCTGGTAAGAGTGGGGGTTACAGCCCCCAATGTAAATCATTTTAAACATGTTGAGTCACGTTCATGCAAGTTACAGTTGTACATGTTTGAGTCAGAAGTACTCAGTAAGTGCTTACTTACTACTTACTTACTACTACAAGAACTCAGACCAAATGGTAAGATGATGCTGGTTTAAAAATGCAGAAATTCTCTCCACTGCTCTGTCTATGATGTCACAGATAAAACATAATCAGCACAGAGCGTCAGGGGAAGGGGTCACCTTGTTTCCTGTGTGGGTGTCCCAGATGAGCAGCTTTCCGTCCTGTGACGCACTGACCATTTGTCTGAGGAAGAAACAACAGATTATCAGTGTTTTTATTAAACTCACTGGACACCAGAAAGAGACTAACAGAGAAATTGATCAGAGAACAGCGGACATAACAACAGCATTCGTTTTGGACAAAGCTTCTGTGCGTGTTGTTGAATTATAACAGAGCATTGAGATTAGTGACATTTGAATTCTCTATGACCGTTGTGATTGGATTGGCTCATCCTCGGCAGCCAATCAGAAACTCATTTAGCGTCTGTCCCCAGATCGAAATATTTGGGTATGGTTTTCCAGGCTAGAGGTTTGGGTTGAGGTTGGACTTGATGTGGTTGGGTCTATGTTGGTTGTACTTGGTATGGTCTGGTAAGGTTTGGTCTGATCTGGCTTAGTTTGGTCTGGTTTGATCTGGTCTGGTCTGGTCTAGCCTCGTTTGGTCTGGTCCAGACCTGTATAGGGTTTGATTTGTGATGGTCTGGTCCGTTTTAATCTAGTGTTATCTGGTTTGTTCTGATCTGGTCCTTTTTAACCTAGTCTTTTCTGTTTTGGTATGGTTAAATTTACCCTGGTCTGGTCCAGCCTGGCTTGGTCATGGTTGCGTGTGCCGTACCTGGAATCAGCGGCCCAGTGCATGGCGTAGATTTTGGCGAGATGTCCTTTGAGGTCTTTCCTCTTTTTGAGCTGAACGCGTCCCACAGATTCCACTCCTGACGAGGCTCCTTTCATGTCGCCATCGTTCACGGCTTTACGCGCCGTCTGCGATAACAAAACACATTAAAAAAACATACAAACATAAAATAACACCTTTTTCCCCCATAGTCTGTGGTCATGTGACATCACTGGTAACTATGGTATGTGTCCACAGTCATCCTTTCCTCACTGCTGACCTCTCCTTACATGTTGCGCATCATTGCAATAATTTTAATCAGTGTCAGAATGTGCAATATAGAACCACATGTGTAACTTTGTCCCTTACCCTTATGCTGCTAACATGTACAGATGCATACTGTACAATTGTAATGTGTAATCTGTAATGTGCGCAACAATGACACTGACATGTCTTATATATTTATAGCACTAGAATATACCATATTATATACTTGCTTATTATTCTAAAGTTAGAGATGTTATACTTTATTATGCCTGTTGAGTCATTGTTCACGTATCTTGTGCTGCTCATTCCTTTTTTGTATGTTATTATATTTTTATTAAACACATAGATAGAAAATAAGGAAGTGATAAAAAAAATTGAGTGTGAGATATAAGCAACATATGATAGAAGATTAAAATGTATGTAAGTGATGTTTATTTTTATTTTTTGGATAGTGATGGAGAGTGGAGGTCGGCGTGTTTGTTTTTCTTGTCCTGTTGTGATGTGAGTGGCTTTGTTGATAATTATAACTGAAAATGTGCTATGAATGATGCCCATGTTTCTCCCTTCTGTAAGATATATTAAAATTAAAATAAACTCAAAATAAACAAATATGAAGGAAAGATAGATAAATAAAAATGATGTGCTCCTCATTCCTACGGTTCTGTAACTGGTGATGCAACACTGATATTTTCCCACTGTAGGACAAATACTCTCTGGGGCCAATCCACAAGAAACTAAATTCTAATGAATGTCCATTTCCTTGAATAATCTTTTAAATTGTGAACATATTATATCAGTTCTTTGTGGGGCCACCTGATGGTGAAAACCAGATCCCATCAGAAGCTAAAGCTGAACAGGACATGGCCTGGTTAGGACTGCGATTGGAGACCTCTGAAACCAATGCATTATTATTATTATTTTGTTTCTGTCCTGGACAGCTCTGGTTGTGTTGCTATTTGTCTGTTGACATGACACATGACCTGAGGACCTGCCCTGTCATCATAGTGTCTCTGGTTCTATGTCGTGGTTTCAAACATTTCCATTTTCATGGCCCCCAAATGGTTCAACTCAACTCAAAGTCTTCAGTATTGTCATTAACTTGGTAAGGATTACAGTCAGTTATATTAATAGAATAAATAATAGGCAGAGTGTGATCAAAATCATATACAATCAAATTAGAAAAACAATTGACAGACCAACTTGGCTCGGCTCTACTCACTTTCTATCGGTCCTGTTTAACTGGAACCAGCTACCTTTTCTGACCTACTCGGCCTAAGTTGGCCTTGCCTAGGTCAAACGGGAACTGAAGTGTTCTAACTGTCAGTGATTGGCCCGAATGCTGCTAGAAGCCAAGGATCTTCTCCGAATACTAGTTTGTTGTGGTAAGGTTGCAAGGATACAGTACCAGATACTAAAGCGTAATGGGAACAACCAGGTAGAGTACCCGAGAAATATAAAACTCATTATATTTCAACTCTAAAATCAAAATATTGTGAGAATAAAGTTGAATAATTATGAGAATACAATCAAAATAACATAAGAAAAAAGTTGAAACATTCTTGTATGAAAGTTGAAGTCAGAAAAATATACTAATAAGACTTTTTTCTTATAATGTTGACCCAATAAACTGGGTCACTGTTCTTTCAGCAGCTTTTATAGTTTCCCATTGTCTCCATAAGGCACCAACTTTTCCCTCATCATATTGAGTTCAATTTTGTAATAATATAAGATTAATCTAAAAAAAAAACATCAAGAAGGAAAAAAAAAAGAGAACAATCTCATACTATTATGAGAAAAACTTGAAGTTAAGTCAGGAAATGTATTTCGTAGTTACTGAGAGGTAAAACAAATGTTTTTGTTATTATTTCTCTATCAGCCAAACATACAGCCATTACTCAGCAAGGCAAGTACATTTGTATAGCACAATTCATACACAAGGAAACTCAAAGTGCTAAGAAGACAGCACTTCGCTATAGAAGACATTGTGCTCACAACTGGATTAATATCAAATCATTGACAAAATCCAACTGTCTTCAAGCAAGCCCTTCATAACTATGGTATGGTGTAAAAAAAACCTCTGCAACATTTTATCTTTTGATTAATTAAGTTTTGGTTCAAAAACAGAACAAGCAGTGGTTAGCCCTACCCATGTCCACCCTGGCGGCCGCCTGATTGAAGGAAGTTAATTCAAATCCTTGAGCAAAGATTCAAACATGTGCGACGGAAAGGCTATTCATCGTACCTCAATCTGTTTGCGGAGGCCGTCGCACTCCTTTTTCAGTTTTTCGATCTCAGCTTTCTCCGCTGCCATGGCGACTGTGGGATGTTACAAAACCAGGTTTGACTCTGAAAGACATGAAATATGAATGCTCAATGGCACAACCAGCGACAGTGAAGTTTGTGGAGACAGATCTGCACTGCTCTGTGGGGACAAGTCTGTTTCTGATATTAGTATGGATACTGTAGTAGTAGTAGCAGTAGCAGCAGCAGTAGCAGTAGCAGCAGCAGCAGCAGCAGTAGTAGCAGCAGCAGCAGCAGCAGCAGCAGCAGTAGTAGAAGCAGTAGTGGTGAAATGTTGTGAACAAATCAGACCGCTTCATGCCATCTTCATCTTATTAGCAAACCTGTTTCATTTTGTGTAGGATAGATCCCTGTGAGTCGATCTTTGGGCTGAGAGTTGATTCAGTGGTTCGGTGAGGGTGGTCTTCTCTTTTTCACTATTTTGTTTGAAATGTCACTTTTCTGATCTATAGATGTAACAAAGACCAAAAACACATTATGTGAAAACTTATGAATTGAAGCAAACTGTTTTAGAGCCAGGAACATGTGACATTGAATTGTTGGTTTAAAAGTTATGTACCTAGACTCAAAGTCTGTTTCTAATGTTATCGCACATAGAAAAATATACAAAAACAGGACAAATTGGTGTAAACATGTGACAAAGACCAACAATACTTGTTATGAAAGCAAACTGTATTAGAGACAAAACAATGGAACTGTTTAAAAGTTGCGTACTTTAGTGCTTTAAAGGATCCATATTACGCTTTTTGACTTTTCTCTGAGTAGTTTTTTCATTGATTCTGTCAAGCTTTAGTTAGAGAGCGATCTTTTTCCTTCACCCTCGAGATCCAGTGAAACGCCCGCGTCCACCTCTGTGACGATTTCCACATTGATGACAAATATGATGCGCAGAAGCCTGTTTTTTGTATCAAAAATGAATCTTAAACAATACACAATAGATAAGCTGTTTGTTGTCAAAAATAATGAAAATAATAATATGAAAATCGTGCAGCCAGGGATGGGTAGCTCACAGGTAGAACAGCAGACTCCTCTCTGGATCAGCCTGTTTGAGTCGAAGTAACGTCACCTCTATTCAAGCGATGGTTATAATCTCACAAGTTTTGAGTGTTGTATGGTGTATCACTCAAATTATAATCACACATGTGCATAGGATGGACTGTGAAACATGAAGAAAAGCGTAATATGGGTCCTCTAACAACCATTCTTTCTTTTCTTTTTCTAATCTGTTGTTGACAAATCGAACTTTGTAAAGTCCTTCGAGATGACAGTTGTAATTTTGGGCTATTAACAAATACAGTTAATTGAATTGAGTTGAATAGAAACTAGTTATTTGTGTGTGCGAAAACGCATTTATTGTCTGATTAGTCCATTCATTCAACAACAGCGATAGCCTTGCTCTGTCAGATTTCCTGTGAAGATCCCTCGTTAAGCAGCGGCGGGTCAAACGTGTAGTAGTATTCATGGGTCAGTGGGCCTCTGGTCTCAGCTCATCCGATTACAAAAACACCTTTCCCCGCTCCTCCCTCAGAGATAACAATATGTTCTATCTAACGCAAGCACAGGAGCAAATCAATCATGACATACTGAAGAACTTGACACATGCAAGTCCTCCTAAAGCTGGGGTATGTAACTTTCAACAACATCCATGGAGCTATGTTATAAAACCCATTTCCCATGTTCTTGGTTTGCTTCTTTCGTTAGTTTTCACATGCATGTATTTTTGGCCTCTTTTAAGATCAGCTACATCAGAAAAAAAAGTAAAAAAGAGGACCACCCTCACTCAGTCAATCAGCTCTCAGCCCTAAGAGGAAAAACATGTGCTATTGAAGAAAAAAAAAAACACTTGTAAACATGATAACGTGTTGGTTTCAGTTAATAGAAAAATGTTGAAGACTTATTTGACCTTGAAAATACAGTAAACATGACGAGCGTGAGCCTGTTAACACTAATCCTAATACCTGGCCATGCTCTGATCTCATTACATACCGTCGTTTGCATCGTTAGCATCGTAAGGTTCTTGCATCGCTCACGGACATGTGTTTTTACACCATTTTGGTCTTCTAAATGGTTTTCCGTAATTTTTCCACGTTCGAATATTAACATTTTGCTCAAAGTGAAAGGCACATGCTAACCACCCTAGTCTAAGCGCAATTTAATGAGATGAAGTTAGCTTAGAAACCTCCGGCTCTGATTGGATTATTCACTTTTGTGTTCGGGTTAAAGCAAAGACATAATAGCAAGAAGCCTATGGCCCGTTACACGGCAGGAATCTGAAAATCATTATTGATCTTCAAAGAGCTTTCTAGGCTCAAGAGGACTATTGTTTCTAATTGGAAATGATGTCGGTATCTGTGACTATGAGACAAATATTGGATTATGGGACTTGCAACATTTAACTTATTTGGAGACATTTTAACGGCTTAAAGCTATCTAACGTGAATAAATCAGACCACAACATTCTCTCTTCATCTTATTAGAAAACCTGTCATCTTTTGTGTAAGAAAGAGCCCTGTGAGTCACTATATGACACTTTGGGCTGAAAGCTGAGAGTGAGGGTGGTCGTCTCTCTTTTTCAATTTAAAGACTGAAAAAATAGATCAAAAGATGTGACAGGCCAAAACTAGTGAGTGAAAAAAATGTTTTAGAGCCAGGAACTAGAGACATAAATTTTATTACAGAGTTTAATTGTTGTGGGTTGCAAGCTTTAAGCTATGTATGTCCTTATAATACAAGTTGCCACATATGTTACTAAATGGGGCAACAGTGGCTCAGTTGGTAGAGCATTGGCTTTTGAGCCTGAAGGTCGTGGGTTCGAGCCCACCATAAGACCTACTTAACGACTCCCACTGATGTCTGCTGTCGTTGTGTCCTTGGGCAAGACACTTAACCCCACTTTGCCTGAAGCCCCCACTGAAAGATCTCAGCTCCTGTGGACTTACCACCTGCAGGAGGATCAGTGAGGGGCTGGTGCTCTGTGTACTGGGTGTAGCTCTGACTACCCCCCCACCCCTCAGACCCAGAAATGGATTAAGGGGAAGAAAATGGATGGATGGATGGATATGTTACTACGGTCGACCCCTGTTTGTACCACAGATTCTTGACCAGTGCACCCACATTGTAAAGAACTCTAAGGAAGCAAGCTCTATAGATGTTCCATGCTTTTAAGCCACTTGTAGTCATCTTCTTAGCTCACTCAAATTTACAAGATTAGAGCTAATCCTAAACTACTCCACGACAATGTTACACACTTTCATTAATTCATTTTAAACCAAAGACTTTGATTTTTTTTTTTTTTTTTTGTGAATTGGTATGCTATTAGTGCTTTTTATAATCATATTTATTTCTTTGGATAGCTCTTGGATAGCTCTCAATGTTGATGAGCCACTAATGCATTGCAAAAGATTATAATATTATTACTAATTTTTTTGATCACTTCCATGTTGCTCATTCTTAAGCGCTACTGTTCTGTTTCTACTGTAATCAGAATCAGAATCAGAATATTTTTTATTGCCACGTAAGTAACAGGAATTCACAGACTTGGAAATTGCTTTGGCTCAGTGCAACAGTCAGAGAGAGATAATAAAAAATAAAAAACACTTCTAAGGAATAAATTTAAATTTAAAATAGAGTTACAGCTACTATTTACAATATACAAGTGCACATGGTGCACACAATGTAAGGTGACAGTAGTACAGTTAAGTAAAGTGACGTATGATGGGATAATAACGTTCCACTTACATAAACTGACACCAATAATTTAGCTTCTGCACAAGTTCAATGCATGTTTAAACTTAAATTTAGAACCTTTTCAGGTTTACTTAGAAAACAACAGAGAATTAATTCGTTTTTGTTGAAATTTAGCGCGGGTGTCTTGACTTTTGTCACATTCTTTCCAATTCCAAATCCCACTATTCTTGCATAAGTGATACTTTAGCTTCTGCAGCCTTGAGACATGTAATGACTTAAATGGAGTTATACATATTTTCATTGTCAGCCTTCGCTATTGGATCCCTTTGCACAGGTTTAAGCAGTCAATCCTCTTTGGCTTCTCTACAATCCAAAGATCACCTTGACACGGTTTAAGAATCAATGCTTTTGACTCGGATACAGGTCATGAAGCATACCAGCCATTTAAAGGAAACAGAGGACAAAAGTTCACAAACAAAGATGCCATTCTAGAAAGTTGTAATGTTTTAGATCCCGGATTTTGAGCTCATATTGTTTTTCTGGTTTGAAAACATTTTAGCTTTACTTGATGGAGGTCCATCCTTTTCATTTGCACATTTGCAAACAGTTCTTGCTTGGAGTTGGAAGTAAGTTAGTATGAAACCTTGGTCTATCGACAAGGATTCAAGCTCAGTGTGCTGAACTCTTCTTCTAGAAACTGTCCTTAACAGCATCAAAGTTCAAAAGTAAAGAATTTGCTTGATACGCCAATGCACAATAGTTAGTATTTTTAGATTCTTGAATTTGGGCAAAGATTATTTCAGTAGTTTGATTTGATGGAGGTTTGAAATTTCCCGTTGAACAATTGCTCAGAATCTTAGGTAATAACCTTTGATGCATCAATTATACTGAGCAAAAACTGCGTTCTAGCTCAGTATGTTGAACTCATCTCCCAGAAACTCTTTGTAGTGGCATAAAAACTTTTTATGAAAGTCTAAATGAAATGAAAGAGTTACCTTTGCACCTGTGTCCGCTGGCGAATGCTGCTAGCACTGGTTTTCTCTCTGAGGCCGGTTCCCTCTGCTCCCTGCGCTCTCAGATCAGGATTTGGAGGATGAAGAGGAGATCAGGGATGAAGGGATAAGGCTCAGAGATGGAAATGGCACCGGGAGGAGGAAGTCACCCCAGCGAGGTACACACAATCAGGTTATGAGGTCAGACAACACTGGCAGGTGAATGGGGAGGAGCCAATGAGGACAGGTGATTATTTCAATTTGTCACTTAGGAATTTCTCTGCTTAGACATTACCACTCTCAACTTTCACTTATAAACTCACTTAATTCA